ACCTGCAGATTCAAACCAAACATCTCTCCTAAAAAATAGACAATTTACTTCCGCCCCTCATTGCTACACGGATCCATGACCCATTTCCTATTCTTTCATACCGCGGCAATCCCGATTTAAATTTTCCATTAGCACCCCTTATTTAATCTATAAAACCCTTTATCATCAAGCTGTTTTTCTCTCCTTTTATAAAATCATCCATAAACCAACTCCAGTCTTAAGAGCCTCTGTGGATTTCTCTCTCGTCAGTTATGGCCAGTTTTGCCAACGTTGCCCCGTCACTTTAAATATCCTTTCTTCCTCATTTGGACATCTTTATTTTTCCATTTCTGCGCATATAATCATCTTGCCGTAGCGACACGGTGCTTTTTACTCAGCTCTTCTTCCATAAACCCTAATAGAAGTACAGTTCTGGTTTCATGTATGGGTTTTATTGATCGATATTGACCACATTAAAAGTGAAAATGGATGCACTCGCAGTCTCTCGCACTTCTCCCAGTGGTTTGAGGGATTTTTAATATCGTGTTCTTTTTCAGCAAAGAAATTAAATTTCCTAGGACCGCACTTTAAGAAACACTGTCTTAAGGATTTATGGTTGTGTTAAGGGCGTGGACGCCTGCTTGCAGGCCAGGAAGAGGACCCAGATGTCTGGATTTTTACTCCAAGACCCAGGGCTTAAGGCTGCAGGTGGGGTTTCAACAGGATTCCCTCCCTGCAGAAATCTAGCATTTCAGGGACGGAATGAGTCCAGGAGGGAACTGTGTGGCTATAACCATTTTTTTTTTTTTATTGAGATCTTGCTCTTTCTTCAAGATCCTGGCTTCCTCCACAAACCTCTCCTGCTTTGTTTCCTGCTTATTTTTCACGGCGGTGTTGGGAGCTGGGGATAATGGGGACTGGAGTCCAAGGCCTCTTGCAAGTTTATCCACCCATGTAGGAAATGGGGATTAAATTGGGCGGCCTTCTCCACCAATGCCTTGTCGAAAAGCGAGGCTATAACTGCAGACTTTGGATCTTCAGTCTTAGGAAGGGTGGTCAGACGCCCGGTCAGAGGAGGACACGTCCTCCTTTTAGTCCGCACGTCCTCCGTCTAGCAGGCCTTAAATTCAAATATTGTCCGGCTTTTTGAGTGTTTTTTTTAAAAAAATTGGACTGTTTTTCAAACTTTCATGCACTGTAACCGTCTAAACTGTACGCTTCTTTCTCTCCTGACGTGACAGCCGAGATCAGTGTTTCTCAGCAACTTTAAGATATGTGGACTTCAACGCCCAGAATTCTGAACAGCCCTCCTTTTGGAATAAGCCACCTTTGACCGGGTTCGCACAGTCTTAAATCACAGGTCACAGCAACGAAAGCCTGTGATATTTCGCTGCGAGGCACTGCGGCTTCTGCATTAACCCGCTTTCTGATGAGGAGCTCTGCGGCACTCAGAAGCTCACACGCTTGGCCAAGTTCTAATTACAGGCTGAGTTTATTGATAAGGAAAGAAATTTAAATTTAATGAGTTAATCGGTTAAATCTAATAATAAATTTAAATTGAATAAGGAAAGAAATTTAAATTTAATGAGTTAATCGGTTAAATCTAATAAATTTAAATGTAATAAGGAAAGATATTTATAAATTAAATGACTTAATGGGCATGAAAACGTTGGCCAATATTACGCTTTAAATATATGCATATCCTGTATAGTTAAATATGTGTATTTTAAAATTTTACTTCAAATAAAAATGAAAAACTCAATGGAATTTTAGAATTTTTTAAAAAATGGAATATTTTTAAAAGTTTAAATATCAATATTTGCACCATTGCAGAAGTATATACAGTCAGCACGGATAAGATGTAGCAATATTCTGCAAAGATCAAAGTAAATCGATACATATTCTGCGGAAGCCCCGCCCCCTTTCCACCAAGCCCCGCCCCTTCCCCCACCCAATGGCAGCCTGTCATGTGGGCGCTTGGAGCGGCGTTCGTTCGCTCGCGCCTCCGTGGCCGAGGAGGACTTCGTTTCCCAGCACGCCCCGCGCCCCGCGGCCGCTCCAGCGCGGGGCCTTCCTAGCGCGGGGCCTGCTGGGAGGCGTAGTTTTTTCCCGCTCTTAGCTTTCTCGGCACTGCCCGGGTCATGGCTACCGCGGGTATCCACGCTTCCAGCTGCAGCCCGGCCGGAGAAGCGGAGCGGCCTCACCCGCGGCCCTTCCTGATCGGGGTCAGCGGGGGCACCGCCAGCGGCAAGGTAAAGCGGCCGAGCTGCGGGCGCCCCGTTGCAAAAGCAGCCAGAACCGGGCGTGCAATGCATTGCCCCGGGCCGGGGGGGGGCCGCGAAGCCCAACTCACCCGCCCCCCCATGCCTAAACGGGGACAAGGACCCCTCGCCTTGCAGCTTCGTCCGTGCATTGCAATCGTGCAAGACCCGGAAAGCTACGTTTAAAAAGAAATCGTTT